ATTCGGATATCAGACCAATGTTGAAACAAAACAATACAAGAGCAAAGCATTACCAACTGGTATTAAAGCATTTCAAAACAACTTTGACAGCCTGGCTTCGAAACCTACTAATCCCGCATGGAAGTCTGACTGTTTAACCACTGTACTATGTTACTTGAAGAATCAAACATACAAAGTTGGCTTTAATGCCTCAATTTGTTCAACTGTTCTTTGCTGAAGCTGTTTCAGTGCGATACATAAAAAATTACCACTAGATGTCACTGTAGAGTGGGGTTTCGAAACGTTTCGAAGCTTCGACTGTTTTAGTGTTTCACGAAGCCTCGCTTTGCCCACCACTAGCAACAGGTCAAAAGGCAGGCGGCTAAACTAGAGAACAAGGGTAAACAAGGCTAGGGTCTAAACACGGAGAAAACAAGACAAGGAGAAACGCGTTGTATTGTCACTATGGGCGAACAAGACTCGGCAAACTGGAAGGGTGAAAGAGTGGCTTATGAATGGTGTGATATCAGTCTGTGACAAGGTTCAGCTGGTGATTGCAATCAGGATAGATGAATGAACAGGCGTGCGTGTTTGGGAGCAGTGCATGTATGAAAATGTAGTCCTGGGAAATGCGGAAATGTAGTTTTGAGAGTTCGTGTGAGAACCAGCGATCTCTGGAAAGCGATCGCTGGTTGTGTGACACAACCCAACACTGGGAAAGCAATGGATAAATTAAAAAAGCTATTACAACACTTCATACTGGATTCTGTAACTAATCGGTAACCAGTCTAATGAAACCAGTTCATGCTGACTTTAACGTAACTAATCATCTGCTGTTTTCAAGCCTCACCCATTTTTATATATTTTTTTTTTTACTTTAAAATGTTTTTGGAGTCAGTCATTCATTGACTCCTGCTGGAATGCTCCACACGTTGCTTTATTAACACATTATTCTGTTTCTCCATAGCTCATTATTTATTTTTTCCTGCATATACGGCAAGTCGTTAACCGATCAACTTTATCTAACAAACAGAAATGCTGTACCATGATGGAAAATTGCTTGAAATTGGAACAGCACTAATGTATTTTCTCACTGGGGACTTTTATAGATATTGGCACCAGTTATATATTACATTCTCTTGGAACTGTTTAGCATGCTGTAATTGCATTTTTGTGAAAATAACTCTCATCATTTGTGTTTTGTTTTCAGAGGGGGAAAGGTTTTAGGAATGGCTTTAAAAAATTATTTTCAGTTTTAATCAAAAGCAATAAATTTTAAAGACATTAATTTAGGTAAAAGAGAATTTAATTAATTAAGAAAAAGACTTTTTTTTGGACAATTGAAGTTGTATTGGGTAAAATATCCATTGTTTGGTACCAACTTTTTATTTTGCACACATAACCAACATTATACACTCACCGGCCACTTTATTAGGTACACCTGTCAACCGCAAATTTCTAATCAGCCAATCGCATGGCAGCAACTCAATGCGTTTAGGCATGTAGACATGGTCAAGACGATCTGCTCTAGTTCAAATCGAGCGTCAGCTCTATCTGAGTATTGTTGCTGACCATGTCCATCCCTTTATGACCACAGTGTACCCATCTTCTGATTGCGCCATGTCGTAAAGCATGAGTCATCTCAGGTTTCTTAAACATGACGATGAGTTCACTGTACTCAAATGGCCTCCACAGTCACCATATCTCAATCCAATAGAGAACCATCAGGATCTGGTGGAATGGGAGATTCGCATCATGGATGTGCAGCCGACAAATCTGCAGCAACTGCGTGATGCTAACATGTCAATATGGAGCAAAATCTCTGAGGAATATTTCCAGCACCAAGTTGAATCTATGCCACAAAGAATTAAGGCAGTTCTGAAGGTAAAAGGAGGTCTAACCCGGTTGTAATAAGGTGTACCTAATAAAGTGGCCGGTTAGTGTATATCACAACCTTGTGTGTATTTTACGAGCTAGATAAAAGAGAACTTAATATACAACATGTAAAGATCCCGCCCTCTTCTGCAATTGGGGTGGGGCACAGCAACTCATTTACATTTCATTAGACCCATTAAAGGGGACCTACCATGCCTCACAAGATGTCAAATAAATCTATGATGTCCTTAGAGTGTGTGTGAAGCTTCAGCTCAAAATAACACCACAAATAATGTTTCATAACTCTTTGAAACAGACCCTTTTAGGCTTTGATCCTAATTGTGCTTTTTTGGTGACTGTCACTTTAAATTCAAATGAAATTGGGATCTTTTCAAAAGAGGGCGGAGCTACAAATGTTTACATGTCAGCAAAGTGGCAGATTCATAAAACAATGAATGACACGTGATGACACGTACAAAGGCAGAATGTCACTCAAAGTGTTTCTATAAGCTGTTTTTTATCATCTGTGATTATAAAAATGAAGGTAATACATTTTTACCGTTCAAAGCTGGTTATACACACAACTGTGTTTAAACTCCTTATTAAAGTGATTTTTGCATAATTGGTCCCCTTTAAAACACCGAAAGATGAGCATTTACTGTGAGATCTAATGAATGATCTCTGAGGTGTTTTGAGCAGAAACTTTACAGGCACATTCTGGGGACACCTGAGACTTTCTATTACATTTTGTAATCGAATGCATAATTGGACCCCATTAAAGCAACTTCAAGTCAGAAAATTGAACGCTGTTAGAACACAATGCACAGTTGCACACCTTTGTATAATGAAAACTAATTAACTTCTGAAGTTTAAGTAAGTGCAACTTCTGAAGGTTAAGCCACTCTTATTTCACATTATTCACTGCAAAACAAGAAACTATTTATACCTTATTCAGCAAGTGCCTGTCGTGAATGTAAAGTAAGCCACTTTGTGTAAAAGTGTCTGTCAAGTGCTTAAACGTAATGCATAAATGCATATCCGTGGAAAGAGGCAGTTTACTTTTTCTCGTTTTGTTCCTCTTTTGTCTGATAGTGGTGGTGGCTCTCTTACTGTCATTGCGAATACAGAAACATAGAAACATAGGGCATAGGAATAGCACGTGTGTTTGGCCTTTTTCCACATTTTTTCATTTACTGCCTTATTCCAAAATGGATTAAACTCATTTATTTCCTCAACATCCTACACACAAGACCCCATAATGCTAATGTAAGAAAAAAAACGTTTTGAAATTGTTGCAAATGTATTAAAAATAAAAGCTGAAAAATCACATGTACATCAGTATTCACAGCCTTTTCTGTGAAGCTCTAAATTGAGCTCAGGTTCATTCTGTTTCCACTGTTCATTCTTGAGATGTTTCAGCAGCTTAATTGGAGTTCATGTGTGGTAAATTCAGTTGTTTGGACATGATTTGAAAAGGCATACACCTGTCTATATAAGGTCTCAGGGTTGACAGTGCATGTCAAAGCACAAACCAAGCATGAAGACAAAGGAACCGTCTATAGACCTCCGAGACAGGATTGTCTCGAGGCACAAAGCTGGGGAAGGTTACAGAAACATTTCTGCTGCTCTGAAAGTTCCAATGAGCACAGTGGTCTCTATCATTTGTAAGTGGAAGATGTTTGGAACCACCAGGACTCTTCTTAGAGCTGGCTGGCCATCGAAGCTGAGTGATCTGGGGAGAAGGGTCTTAGTCAGAGAGGTGATCAATAACCCGATGGTCACTCTGTCTGAGCTCCAGCGTTCTTCTGTGGAGAGAGGAGAACCTTACAGAAGGACAACCATCTGTGCAGCAATACACCAATCAGGCCTGTATGGTAGAGTGGCCAGACGGAAGCCACTCCCCACCTGGAATTTTCCAAAAGGCATCTGAAGGACTCTCAGACCATAAGAAACTAAATTCTCTGGTCTGATGAGACTCAAATTGAACTCTTTGGAGTGAATACCAGGCGTTACGTTTGGAGAAAACCAGGCACCGCTCATCACCAGGCTAATACCATCCCTACAGTGAAGCATAGTGGTGGCAGCATCATGCTGTGGGGATGTGTTTCAGCAGCAGGAACTGGAGACTAGACTAAGACTAGTCAAGATAGAGGGAAAGATGAACACAGCAATGTACAGAGACAAACCTGCTTCAGAGTGCTCTTGAGCTCAAACTGGGGCGACGGTTTATCTTCCAGCAGGACAATGACCTAATATCAATGGAGTGACTACAAAACAACTCGGTGAATGTCCTTGAGTGGCCCAGCCAGAGCCCAAACCTTAATCATATTGAACATCTCTGGAGAGATCTGAAAATGGCTGTACACCATCGCTTCCCATTCAACCTGATAGAGCTTGAGAGGTGCTGCAAAGAGGAATGGGCAAAATTCCCAGAGACAGCTGTGTCAAGCTTGTGGCATTATATTTAAAAAGACTTGAGGCTGTAATTGCTGCCAAAGACGCATCAACAAAGTATTGAGCAAAGGCTGTGAATACTGATGTACATGTGATTTTTCAGCTTTTTTTATTTTTTAATAAATTTGCAACAATTTCAAAAAATCTTTGTTCACATTGTCATTATGGGGTATTGTGTGCAGAATGTTGAGGAAATGAATACATTTAATCCATTTTGGAATAAGGCTCAAACATAAAAAATGTTGAAATACGTGAAGCGCTATGAATACTTTCCGCATGCACTGTGACTCAGTTTTTCGACCACACTTTGTTATCATTGCTCATTTATTCGTGCTGGAATTTTATTTATATTTATTTGCAGGAAATTAGAACTGAATTTAGAATTAGTTTTGAAACAAATCTTTGCGTTAACAAATGAAATTAAACATGTAGGCTAATGGATGTATTCAGTGGAGATCGGACAACACCGTTTCCCTATCCTTGAAAGTAAAGGAGTAAAGAGTAAAAATTAGTAAAAAGAAAGTAAAGAGGCCGAATGGAGGAGGCTCGTTCTTTATCTTCATGCTGCAAATGCTCTGTTTAACTGTCTTCTCGCTAGTGAAGCTTTCAGTTTTTCCACTTTTCCTATTGGCCGTGGGAGATGAGACTCTGATTGGTTTAATGTTATGTTTTATTCTTCTTTTATCTGATAGTGGTGACGGCTCTCTCGCTATCATTGCGAAAGCAAAAACGGGACACTCAGTCTCCTGTGGAAGATGATGAGATCCGGGAGAACATCATCACGTATGACGATGAGGGAGGAGGAGAGGCGGATACAGCCGCTTTCGACATTGCCGCGCTAAAGAGCGCCCCGCAGAGCATGAGGAGGGTACAGCGCCTACAAAACACCAACAACATGTGAGTCAACCCTATTTATATATTTAACAGTCTTTTGGGAGGCACGGTGGCTCAGTGTTTAGCACTGTCGCCACACAGCATGAAGGTCACTGGTTTGAGTCTAGGCTGAGCAAGTTCGCATTTCTGTGTGGAGTTTGCATGTTATCCCTGTGTTGGCGTGGGTTTCCTCTGGGTGATCCGGTTACCCCCACAGACCAAACACATGTGCTGTAGGTGAATTGAATAAATTAAATGGGCCATAGTGAATGTGTGTGTATGAATAAGAGTGTGTATTGGTGTTCCTCAGTGTTGAATTGCGGCTCGAAGACCATTCTCTGTATAAAACGGATGCCCCAATTGGTGGTTCCCTCCTCTATGAATAAAATCTAAGGGTATAAGTCGAAGGAAAATGAATAAACTGTGTGGAAAATGAATAGACTGTGGGAGAAGCCGGAGCACCCAGAGCACCCAACATGGGTATCCTGTAAGTTTTAAAACAAAAAACGTTGTCGTTCCCTTACAAAACAGCTTATATTGCAGAGCGTTTGCCAAAACGACAGGTTCTGGAATGTTCTACTTTATGATGTAATAGTGTGGATAAGCTCCGCCTCCTCAGAACATCAACACCTACTTCTGCTGACTGCCTGTTTAGCCCTGATAATATGCTAAACAACTAGCCAATCAGAGCGGCAGGTGTTTACTCTGGAGTCTTCAATTGGCCAAGCCTATTCAAACAGAGCGTATTGATGACGGGGGTCAAGAACAGGACAGAAAATAGTCACTATTTTTGTTTTTATGTCTAAATAACTGCATAACATTATAAGTGAACCTCAGGGAACAGTACAGAATAAATAAAAAGGAGGTAGTTCATGACCCTTTTAATGGCTATAGATCCATCTCTGAAGTCCTGAAGGAAACAGTCTGTAAATAGACAACAGTAAATAGGATTTCATATTTCCCATGTCGATACTACACCCATCTGCCAGGAAAGACAGTATTAGAAATATAGACTTTATAACCAACTTTAATGACTTTGCACTTTTCACCTACCTTTGAGATAGCGTCAGTGCTGCTTTAAAAAAGAAGGGAAGGTAATGTGACGTGGATAAGTATGGAGACACATTTGCCAGCCTTGCTTTTAAACCATTAAAGTATGCACACAGAATTAAACACACACACACAATGTGAACACACACTTGAAGCAGTGGGCAGCTTATTTATTATAAGTAACTTGTATTTAACTAGTAGTAGTAGTTAGAAGTAGTTAAAGTCTCTTTAAGACAAGTCATTTCTCTCAGCGACCATCTTTGAAACGTCTCTCATGCATTCTGTCTGAATGCGAAAACATCAAATTCTCCAAAACTGTTTGCCAAGTTCACAATTACATTACCTATTTGGAATCACTGATAAAATTAGGCAACAAACATCTCATAAGTTTCATTTCTAAACGTTCGAATCAAACAAAATCAGCATTTTTTCAGGTTGCCAGAGCTAATGCGCAAACTCAGACGAAAAAAACGAGATCACAACACTGACCTTATTTATGGCCCTTTTACACAGTATCATCCTCTAGATCAGGGGTCTCAAACTCGCGGCTATGTTGAGACTATAGTTTGTGACCCCCGCCTTAATTTGAAAGTTTAATGTTAGTGCGGCCCGCGAGTTTGATATGTGTAGCCCTTTACAGTTTTGTGTGTGGAGCTGAACAAACACACTAATCACGGTGGGGTATAGGGTTCTCGGGGCAGGGGTATATAGGTTCTCGGGGCAGGATATTGGCTGTCTATAAATAGTTAAATATATATATATATATATATATATATATATATATATATATATATATATATATACACATACAGTTGAAGTCAGAATTAATAGTCTCCCTGAATTTATTAAACTCCCTATTTATTTTTTCCCAAATTCACCAACTTATCCAGCATATGTTTTACGGAGCGGATGCTATTCTAGCTGCAATCCATTTCTGGAAAACATCCATACACACCCATTCATACACATACACTACGGACAATTTTAGCCTGCCCAATTCACCTGTACCGCATGTCTTTGGACTGTGGGGGAAACTAGAGCACCCGGAGGAAACCCACATGAGCATGCAAACTCCATACAGAAACTCCAACTGACCCAGTCGAGGCTTGAACCAGCGACCTTCTTGCTATGAGGCGACAGCACTACCTACTGCGCCACTGCGATCCCTTTCCCTATATTCTAACTGCTTATTTTTCTTGATTTTAAAATTGAAACATTTGGCATACTGTCAATACATAAGTCAGCAAAATGTATAGCACTGTTCTAGATATTTTAATGAAACAATTGTACAGATTGTGCCTTTAAGGTGAGTCACAAATGGTCACGCAAGAAAATGAAAGGAATAATAATATTTATTGCTGTAATGATACAGCAGCATGTATCTTGTACCTCTATAACTTAATAAGGTTCTGTTCTCGTGGTACTCTCCACCTGACTCCTTTCAGCATTTTCCTTGTGTTTTAAATCTAATTTTAAATCCATGGACTGCAGATGGCAAAAATAGCCTTTAGTACACTTTGTACATTTCTGATTGTTAATGTGCATTGTCCCTGTCAAATAACATGACATAATAAATAAGAATTGACACTCTTATTGATTATGGTAACCAAATGACCCATTTTTTTCTTGGGGCAGTACCATTTTTTTTCTTTTTTATTCATAACTGGAGGTGTTTAAATTAGAAAAAATATATATAAATAATGTATTGTCCCCATTTTTAAAATTCAATCAATTATACAATAATAAAAATACTATAATATACAGTTGAAGTCAGAATTATTAGCCCCCTTTGTATTTTTTTCTTTTTTAAATATTTCTTAAATGATGTTTAAGCAAGGACATTTTCACAGTATGTCTGATAATATTTTTTCTTCTGGAGAAAGTCTTATTTGTTTTATTTTGGCTAGAATAAAAGCAGTTTTTAATTTTTTATAATACATTTTAAGTACAAATTTATCAGCCCCTTTAAGCTATATTTTTTTCGATAGTCTACAGAACAAACCATCGTTATACAATAACTTGCCTAATTACCCTAACCTGCCTAATTAACCTAATTAACCTAGTTAAGCCTTTAAATGTCACTTTAAGCTGTATAGAAGTGTCTTGAAAATATCTAGTCAAATATTATTTACTGTCATCATGGCAAAGATAAAATAAATCAGTTATTAGAGATAAGTTATTACAACTATTATGATTAGAAATGTGATTTCTGTAAAACAGAAAATGGGGGAAAATAAACAGAGGGCTTTTAATTCTGACTTCAACTGTATAGCAGTTTATAATTAATACTGTTTTGTAATTAAACAATACTACTGTAAACTGTATTATACTGTATTTCTTAAAGTATTTACAACTATTTGTTAATGATTGCTACATCATACTGTAGTAATAACACTAGTGAACTGATAAACTGTAATATGTACTTAAGTATACTTCAGTTTTTACAACAGTAAACTGCAGTGTATCAAGTATAATATACCATATAGTTGTAAATAACTACAGTATTAAGTCATTTGTTTATATTACTACATTACGAGACATAAGTCTTGTCTTCTTAGCAGTTGTGAGAGCAACAGATAATAACTTGACTTCAAGTCTAGATTTTTCAGCTTAATCATCTGTTGAACTGCATCCCAATCATCACCAATACCGCAGAATACCTATTGGAACCAGCATGAATCTAAGATTCTCACATGAATTCAGTCAAGTTTGGTAAAGGAAAAATCATGGTTTGGGGTTACATTCAGTCTGGGGGTGTGTGAGAGATCTGCAGAGTGGATGGCAACATCAACAGCCTGAGGTATCAAGACATTTGTGCTGCCCATTACATTACAAACCACAGGAGAGGGCAAATTCTTCAGCAGGATAGCGCTCCTCATACTTCAGCCTCCACATCAAAGCTCCTGAAAGCAAAGAAGGTCAAGGTGCTCTAGGATTGGCCAGCCCAGTCACCAGATATGAACATTATTGAGCATGTCTGGGGTAACATGGAGGAGGCATTGAAGATGAATACAAAGAATCTTGATGAACTCTGGGAGTCCTGCAAGAACGCTTTCTTTGCCATTCCAGATGACTTTATTAATCAGTGATTTGAGTCATTGCAGAGATGTATGGATGCAGTCCTCCAAACTCATGATGGAGTCAGACACAATATTAACTCTGTTTTCACTGCAGCAGGACTTTATATTCTATACTGGACATTATTTCTGTTAAGAGACAAGACTTTTGTCTAAGCAAAGTCAGACCTTACTGTCCTTGTTAAAGAATTAAAAATAAAGGCATGATCATATTTTATTTCAGTAATATAAGTGTAATCTAGAGGTCTTTGCCTTTCATATAAGCCACTTCTGATACCAAATGATCAACTAAAAAGTTATTATTTTTTGTTCCTAAAACTTGTATAGGTGACAAGAGTTTTGTCAGGTAGTGTATAGTTGTTGTGTTATCAAATTACCAGATTAACTTAAGTATTTTGGTTTACAAACATTATAGTGTTTAATATAAATTACTACAGCATTTTTTTCATGTGGAATAAGATTTCGATGCTTATCTGAGCACCAAATGTCCCAGAAATGCCTTTTAGAAATCTGGTCACCATGTTTGTTGGTTTGACGGTCATCATAGCTGAAGCACACTGCAGGAAAGCCTCTCAAATCTTCCTGACACTGCCAGAATTTCACCAGAGTAAAATTTGATCACAACCACCATTAATTGGCTGTCAGTGAACTCAACGAACCAATGATCAAAGACTACAGATTTAGGTCTAGGATTTGTCTCAGAGACCAAATTGTCGCCCAAATTCTCAGAGTCTTGAGTGTGTGTGTGTTTTGACTTTGATGTAGACGTCTCATTTCATCATTCTGATCTCCCTGATTTAATGCTGGCACTGTCTGATCTTTCAAATCACATGTCATTTCTTGACATTTGGCTTAGAAAATGCCATATTATGTTATTTGGAGTGTGCTGACATTCACAAAATGCAATCTTCTGTATCTCTATCTGAAATCTCTGGTTACGATAAATACTTTTGATCACAATAAACGAAGTTACATGCATATCTGATTAATGAAGGGTGTCCGCGTGTATGTGTGTGTGGTTTAATGAGCTTTCACGATGCAAATCTGACAGCTGTTTCAGTGCAAAGTTCATCTTGTTAATATTTCTGCTGCTCAAACCCAGACTGCGTTCTAGCGCTCCATCCATCATGCTCCTGTTAGATGTCATTGTAATACTCCTGGGCAGGTTGATGAAACATGCACAACATGCAACTATTTTTAAAAGCACAACTGACACATTTCGAGTCGTTGCATTAGGAGTTGCCACCGGGACGGCAACAAAACTTCTGATTAAAATAGAAGAACTAATTGGTAACTTAGAGGGATATGATTTTAGTGCAATAAAGAAAAAAGGAACCAGTATTAAATAGGAGCTTTAAGCAATTTTTCATTTACAAAAGAAAAAATGGATACTCTGGTATAATCATAATTCTGATATAAAAAATAAAACTGCAAGATGCTAATTAGTCATTATTAAATAAAAGTTAAAATTGTGAAAAAAAAAAGTTTATGACAAAAAATATATATATATTTTGAGGTATGAAGGTTATGAGAAATCACGAAGGATGATGATATAGATATATGCTGAAATTATAGCAATAGTAAGTCGAAATTATAACAATTACAGTTTGTTTAATTATTTTGGCACAAATTTCAGAAACCTGTCAATTTTCAAAACTCTAAACACAAAACTCTAAACACGGAAGCGTCAGCCAATCAGATCGCTGTATGCAAATACACCAGCTCAGACAGTGGCCTATTGCTGACTGAATATCATTGGCTGACGCTTCTATGACGATCGTTTCAGCTCCAACTTCAGACACGCCCTCTGTCAAGCGTTGACGCTGAAGCCCCGTGTGAATAGGGTGTAAATGACCAAATTTCTCATCCGAAAGACGGCGCTCACTGACAGTATAGTGTCTCCTTCACTATACTTTTTAAAAATGTTTTAATATAATTTTGGCAATGGTTGTGAATTTTGTGTCTAGAGTTTTGAAAATTGACACCAGGGTTCAGAAATTTGTGGCCAAACTATTGTAAAAAAAACTGTAAAAGCATTTTGAGAAAAGGTTATTTATGGCATGTATTTTAATTAAATAAACAGTTAAAATGTAGTAAAATCTAGCAAATATAAGATATTAAATTGTGATTATGATAAAATATATGGAAAAACTTATAATCATGATATAAGTCAGCTCCAGAAAAATATGTACTTATGGAAATTTGTAACTGAAAGAAACTGACCGATCTTAAAATATATTAGTGTCTTTGTTTTGTATCAAGATGGCTGCCAGTAATGTTTTTATAAGGTATCCTATTAAAAAAAAATTAAATGCTGTAAATAAGCTTTCAAATTTGACCATTACGATTCCACGTCTATTTTATTTTCACAGGTATTCTCAAGATAACCTGGACAGCATCAGAACTTTCAGCTGGGGTCAGAGTTTGGGTTTAGACCCGCGGCGTCCCGTTTCTGCACCGCTCTATGGGAGATACTGCTACAGCATCCAGACTCTTCCAGCTCAGAGAAACAGAGCCGGACCCTTCAACTCCAGGCTGGACATGGCCAAGTTGGCATATGTTCTGCCCACCAGCCAGAGCCAACCTGGCGGGCCTTTAGAGTGCGGTTCTGTGTTCATCAGCAAGAGCAGAGAAGGCTCTGAATGTAAAGGAGCAGACGGATCCACCGACAGCATCCCGAAGGAGAGCGAGGCAGGAAGTGAGGTCATCTCTGAAAGCCACACGCTCAGCCAGGATCAGGTAAACATACTGATATAACTCACAGAGAATAACAACATGGTTCTGAGAATAAAAATACTGTTTGTTTTGTCCATAAAGAAACAGATTTGAGCAAAATGCTGGGTTGTTTTAACAAATATAAACAAATTCAACTTTAAGGTTAAAAAACATTAAGTGAAACAATTAACCAAATATTAGGTTCATCCATATTTGACCCAATGTTGGATTACAACAACCCAGCATGTTTTAGAATGTATAAAACAGGGGTCAACAATCTCGTTCCTGGAGTTCCAGTGCCCTGTAGGGTTTAGTTCCAACTTGCCTCAACACACCTGCTTGGGTGTTTTAAGTATACCTAGTAAGATCTTAAGCCTGGTTTATACTTCTGCGTCAGGTGACCGGTGTAACCAACGGCGCATGCAACGCGGGTTGCTGTGCATTTATACTTCTGCACGCTTTCTCTGTTGGTCTGCATTAACACTTCCAAAACGCTAGTTGGCAGTGAGGTGTAAATGTGTCTCTGTGTCGAGTTTCTTCGCCTGTGTTTTGTTCTTTCTGAACGCTTCCAGGATGTACAATTGGCTCAAACTTGCTCATTTTGAGGCAGGAAGCTCCTTCGCGGGACTTCACACTTGTAAACAATCGCTCCATTGGGCTCGCGCCGCTTGCGTGGCTCTCGGTCCTGCCCAGACTCGTCAGCGTTACCAAGCCGACCAATCACAGAGCTGACGCTACGCGTCGTTGCGACATGTAGTTACATTTTTTTGAGAGGTGCACGTCAGCGACACTGTCGGCCATGGCGTCGGGCTATGCGTCAGTGCCGTACCATACGCGTGCGCTTGACGCAGAAGTATAAATCAGCCTTAAGCCTGGTTTATACTTCTGCGTCAAGTGACCGGCGTGACCCACGGCGCATGCAATGCGCGTAGCTGTGCATTTATACTTCTGCACGCTGTCTCTGTCGGTCTGCATTAACACTTCCAAAACGCTAGTTGGCAGTGAGGTGTTTATGTTCCTCTGTGTCGAGTTTCTTCTCTGCTGTTTTGCTTTTCCTGAACACTTCCTGGATGTACAAGTGGCTCAAACTTGCTCATTTTGAGGCAGGAACCATGGACGTGCAACAACTTTAACTATGAGGCAAACACAAAACAAAACTGTCCATCAGGAGCTCCTTCACGGGACTCCACACTTGTAAACAATCGCTCCATTGGGCTCGCGCCATTCTGGCTCTCGGTCTCGCCCAGACTTGTCAGCGCTACCAAGCCGACCAATCACAGAGCTTGCGCTACACGTCGTTGTGACGTGTAATTACAATTTTTGAGAGGTGCACGTCAGCGACGCCGATGGCCACGGCGAAGGGCTATGCGTCATCGCCGTAGCATACGCCGGTGTTTGACGCAGAAGTATAAATCAGCCTTTAATGATGGACAGTTCACGCACACAATGACCGCAGGCTTGCTCACTTAGCGGAAGAGGCGGAGCTATCGGCCGCACATGTTGGATAACTTTATTTATTTTGGATTGACAAAGCAAACTTCTCCTGCGAGAGTGATTATAGCGCCTCCCCATGGAGAATGCGGTTATACTCATGGCAGGTATAATTTGATTGTTTGGTTGTTTATTTCACTGATTTGGCAACCGTCAAACGTCATCACAAAAACGGGTTGAATTTCCGCTTAGTAAAAAAACAAGTGCTCCATTTAGGACGACACTGCATACATGTACTATGCTGTTGAGTGTGTAAGTGCATAATTACATAGTGCATAGTGTGCCATTTGGGACGCAGCTCTTGATTAGCTTGTTCAGGTGTGTTTGATTAGGGTTGGAGATAAAATCTGCAGGACACCGGACCTCCAGAAACAAGTTTGGTGATCCCTGGTATAAAACAACCTCTATGGGGATATTACACCTAATATTAAATTATGCAATTAATTTACCTCAGTCCATCTAAAATATAGGTAACTTTTTTAAATTAAAATTGTAAACACTAAAAATGCTGGTTGTCATTAATTCTCATTTAATTAATTATTTTATATTCTTTTAAATTTAGATCACATTTTTAGCCCAACATTTTTTAAGCTTTAAGTTTAAAAGTTCTTAACATTATAAAATATGATGTTTGTTTTCTCACCCTCAGGCCAACCAAGATGTTGGGGACTTTTATTATGTTATATATTATTATTAGTAGTAGTAGTAGTAGTAATAGTAGAGGTAGTAATGGTAATAGTGGTGATAGTGTAGTGGTAGTAGTAATAATGGTGGTGGTGGTGGTGGTAGTATTGGTGATAGTATGTAGTAGTAGTAGTGGGTCAAACATGGATGAACCCAACCATTGATCAAAAATGGACAAAACCAATCAACCAACTATTGGGTTAAAGGGTGTCATTTAAATTAAATTGAACACAACATTTTTCATTGAGTTTTTCATATATGACCCAACTTTGGTTCTAAGTTCCGGTCCTCTACCACCCCCCCCACCCTCTCTCTACCTCCCTCCATGGCTGTTTCTCAATTCCAAGAATGCAGAGAACAGACTTGTGTTCTTGTAAAGAGCGGTCTTGCCAGGTCAGCTCGGAAGAGCAAACTCAGGAGACCACGAGAACACATCACTTCCTGATGGTCACATGACCTTCATGCATTTTTAAGAGAAAATTTAAACATTACAGCATTCATACAATTTTTTTTCTCTCTTTTCTATATATATATATATATATATATATATATATATATATATATATATATATATATATTTATTCAGTTGAGATTACTTCAAACATTTAATAAAACATGTACATTTCATAGCACTTCACAGACCTTTAATGCTATAAATATGTGGTTTTAGCAGATTTAATTATTCAGTTTTCCTTCCCTCACCAAAACCTGTCTTTTTCTCTCTCAGTCTGTTCATTCAGATCAAGTTCTGTTCGTGAAGGGCTCCAGTCAGAGCGGCTCCTGTTCAGAGGCTTCCAGCTCATCGGCGGGCCACAAACTAGAGTCGTCCCCTCACGGTTTAAATACACGAGCCTCCATTTCCACCATCACCACAGACGACTCAACTCCTGTATCAGCAGTGGACAAGAATGGAGATATTACGCTCATCAGCACCAGCCAGAGCTCAACCAGCCTCAGCACCACAGATATACCATTCAGAACGATGGAGGGAACGCTACTGAGAAATGGTAGAGGAATAGCTTTAAACACAACCACTCTTCTTTATCCAGAAGCTGCCGCTGCCACTGCTGCTGCTGGGCTTATGGGATTATATGGAGTAAGTGGGCGGAACTATGTGCCACAGTTAGTGATGCCCCTCCCAGGTGGGGCGGGGCTTTATGAAAGTAGATGGGGCTTAGGGAATGGGAAAGTTGGACAAGCGAGCTCAGATAAAGCATCCGCCGATTCGTTGACAAATCGAATGGGCGATTTCCTGCAACACCGTCTGGCGATGGTGACCTTTGACCCCATGCAGCCGCCGTATGACTCGCTGCAGACGTACGGATTGGAGGGTGGCGGCTCACAGGCCACGTCTCTCAGCTCGCTGGAAAGCGAGGCAGAAAAAGACACGCAGGGCCAGAAACACAGTTTTGAGGAATGGGGACCCAAGTTTGACAGGTTGCTTGATATTTTTAGGGAACGAGCGACGGAAAAGGAGGATAATGCAAAGCATGAGGGCGAACGTTTGAAGGGAGAGGAAACGAACAAGACAGAGGATGAAAGTGAGACAGAAGTGCGAAATGAGATTACAATTGAATCGAAGGAGACACGTCAGGCTGAGGAGGAAAGCACGGAAGACACGGAGCAAACGCAAAACGGAAAGAGACACTAGAGAGGGAATGGGAGGATGTGATGTCACATCTTAAACGTTCTAAAGCAATAAGTGCTGAAGGGAGAAAATGAGCACAATCTGGACAAAAGAGAATTTTATATGGACCTGCCAAAAACCCAGTATGTCATTGTTGTAGAGGAGCTGAAGGTCTTATGTAAGTCACTACTTGCTCAGTTTGACGCGCACACGCGGCGCTTACAATTGTAAAATACAAGGTCATCTTTGTCTGCGTTTATTTTCAGATTTAGATCTCAGATTTTCAAACAGCTCTCTGACTTTTATACCCAGATGTTTTTTTTTTGTTGTTGTTTTTTTGATGATGATTGAATCTTGGTGGTGGCATGGTGCCTTAGTGGTTAGCACTGTCGCCTCATAGCTAGAAGATTGCTGGTTTGAGTCCCAGCTGTGTCAGTTCAGCATTTCTGTGTGGAGTTTGCATGTTCTCCCTGTGTTCGCATGGGTTTCCTAATGGTGCTTCGGTTTCACCCACAGTCCAACGTTTGTTTAAAATGATAAAGAAAGGTCAAAAAGATGCTAATGAACAATATGTTCTGTTTACAGGAGACTGCTTGATAGATTACTTGGATCATGCAGAGAATATTAATATACCAGTTATGACATAATCAGCCAAACTCCCTGTCCACCGTTTTTGGTATGTTAAAAACATATTTTTCAAGAGTTCGCCCTTAGCTGACGATTGATTATGGAGCTTGTTTGTCATGCTGTCCCGGGAGAGAGCCCTGAGCTCATGAGATCCTCAAAACCTGGGGCTCCCCCGTTGCAGGGTGATTGGGGAGTCCGAGTTCAGGTAGTAATCGAGAACTCCCCTGCTTGATAATGTTGGAAGTAGATTATAATGCTAAGAAGTGTCCATGCTGTCAATTTAGATTTGTCGATTTACTTATGTTACATGTTTTTGTCTATGGGAGGAAACCGGAGAGCCCGGTGAAAACCCACGCAAACACGGGGAGAACGTGCAAACTCAGAAGTGACGACTTGGCCAGGTAGTGTCCGAGCCGGTGACATTCTTGCTGTGTGGCCGTGGTGCTAACCACTAGGCCTCTGTGCTGCTCTGACAAGGAAATGGGAGGAGTAGGGGTGGAAGGGGGGATTCTTCAAGACGAAGATGGCTGAAGTAAGATACTCTGGTTATTTATAGTGGTTAAGGAGTCGTCTGATTGGTAAATCAGTGTTAGCTAATGTGGACCAGGTGCTATCAATCATAAGCGCGTGCTCCTCTCGAAATCAGTTCATAAATAAACTTCACCTGATTCTGCTGGTGCAGTTTTCATCAAATTTGGTTATCTTCAGAGCATCCTGGCAAATGTTATGGAGTTCAGAGCAGCAATGTGGCTCAGTGGTTAGCACTGTTGCCTCTAAGCAAGAAAGTCACTGGTTGGAGTTCGAGCTGGTTGGCATTTCTGTGTGGAGTTTGCATGTTCTCTTCGTGTTGGTGTAGGTTTCCTCCGGGTGCTCTGGTTTCCCCATAGTCCAAAGGCATGCGCTATAGGTGAATTGGGTAAGCTAAATTGGCCATAGTATATGAGTGTGTATGGGTGCTTCCTAGTACTGGGTAGCAACTGGAAGGGCATCCACTGTGTAAAACATATGCCGGAATAGTTGGTGTTTCAATCCGCTGTGGTTACTCCTGATAAATAAGGGCTAAGCCGAGGGAAAATGAATGAATGAATATGGATTTTGTTTTAACAAAATTTGGGTTTCTTTGTCACCTCGCACTGATGTTCTTAGCTTGCAGCTATATACAGGGTGGATCTTAAAAAGCCTTATATAAATAATTAGCCTCATATAAATGTCTTAAATCTCAAAACCCACATTTTAGCACTTAAAAAGTCTTACAATTAATTTTTAAGACCTGTTGTAGGTCTTAAATCACTTTTAAACCGGTCTTAATTTTCCTTTGTTCATGTATTGCTACTCATATGACCAACACCCATCCAATTATCAACAATCTATCTCAATAAAACTTTAAACTTTTTATTTAAAAAGGTAGTTTTAACTCTGTTTACCTTAATGGTTTAATTATTTTCCTTACAATAACTTTTTTTTAAAAATGCTCTATGTTTTTACTGCTGAGGACACCGACCTGGACATTATTTTTATTATTTTATAGAAAGTTTGTTAAAAAAAAAAAAGTTGTATGGATACAAGTAGAGCTTGCTTGTTACAAAATATCTAAAAAAACAGATTTTTTTATAATTAATTTATTAATGTATTATTAATACAGCAGGGGCGCTCAACCTGTGGTCTGTGTGAGTCTTAATGCCCCAATATAGTGAAGGAGACACTATACTGTCAATTAGCGCTGTTTTTCGGATGAAATGTTAAACCGAGGTCCTGACTCTCTGTGGTCTTTAAAAATCTCATGGCACTACTCGTAAAGATAAGGGATATAAACGCAGTGTCCTGACCTAATTTTCTTGACCCATACTCATCATGGCCTCCCAATCATCCCCTTCCACCGAACTGGCTGTATCACTGTCTCTCCACTCCACCCATAGCTGGTGTGTGGTGAGTGCACTGGCGCCGTTGTCCTGTGGGTGCCGTCACATCATCCAAATGGATGCTGCACACTAGTGGTGGTGTGGAGAGACCCCCCTCAGCCTGCGGCCTCGTGCCAACGCACGCCTACCACCAGTGCCGATATACAGCCATATTGCACTGCTACTCGTGTGATATTGAGTCTATACAACAGTTTGACGGCATAATTGTGTATATAAAAACAAAATCAAACATTGAGAGTCTCAAAAACCCTTTTGTATGAGGAACTACTTTCTTCCGCGTTGGATTCAAATCATACGCTAATCATTAAACAGCTGAGCAAGCATCTTTTAAAGATTCTAACGACACTTTAGATCTGTATTGTCTGCTTTTTGCTGGCTGTATGTGGGCGGAGTAATACACAAAGGGTAAAGAGGCTGTACGGGTGCTGATATTACTTAAATATATCACGGCTATCAGCCAATCAGATTCGAGAACCAGACAGAGTCCAGATGCAAAACCCTCTAAATCCATCAGACCTCTTTTCTTGTCAGTATATATATGGTACAATAGTTTTCAACTTAACTTTTCTTGTTTCAGTCTGTTGTTATGGCAGTACTTATTATTTTAAGTGTTTAAAGTGTACTATTTTCATCTAAAATTAATATTTGGTTTAATTTAAGCTCTAATTTACAGTTAAGTTTATCAATAACTGCACTCAATTACAGCTGGAATCTAATTTCTCTTTTTAATGAAGGCACTTTAAATCTCTTTACGTCTCTTCACTTTTAACTAAAGGGTTAATAAGCTTCGATTTTATTTTAAAAATCCTGTAAATGATGGAAATGTGTCAGTTTACAAAACCTGTAAGATACAATGCGACTTAATTTTGCATAGCATGACCTGGCGTATGAGGTGGAGCATCCACTAAAATAGGGCTCGTCTCATTCCACACACACACACACTCATATTAGCAGCACGTGTAGTCATCTCTCAGCGTTCTCTCCTTATACTAAAGTTAATAATTCAGATCGGCATGACAAGCAAAAGCTATGAAACATCTCATTTCTGAAATATTGATTTCAGCCCTGAGAGCGTCATTGTTTGAAAAATAGGTCTCATGAAAAATGTACACTGGCTGACAAATTCATATTGACGCCTGTGTATTAATAAGGCAACACTCTCCGGCGTGGATTTCCACAGTGTGAAAACTCCACCATTTAAAACATTTTGATAAAAGGCTGTTTTTACTAGGTCACTGCAAGCACACTCATCATGATTTGTGCATGGCTTTTACTTCTAACTTATTTTAAAGACTGGATGTCCTCTGTTTGCTAGTTAGCATGCGGTTTAGTTAGCAAAGACCAACCACTCCACCTTACCCTTTCAGTTTTTTTTCCTATGCAGACCTATGCAACTAAATCTTTGAGGTGAACTTCTGAGCTGAATGTGAGGATGGGGTTTTGCTGTCGCTGTTTGTGTACATATGTAAATATATCATTGGGAACTGATGAGCTTTTATTTTGGCACCTGAGAGTTTATGTAAATCTGAATACGTTCATGTACTGTAAATGTTGACTCAATCCTAAAAACGGGACAATCCTAAGAATTTCCAGAGTGTTGTACTGTATGATCTCTTGTCAAACTAAATATGAACCGTCATCTGATGTTCAATAAATGGTGTACAGTGAACTTTGGCAAATGTGGATGCACCCATGTGTGTAGCCGGCTGTACATATGACTTACTGTGCGCATTGGAGGACAAAATGCTTTCATTATCTATCATTGTACACGATTATCTATCGTGTGTGCAGGAATCAAATCTGCTCATTTTTGATCTGCTATTATAGGGAGTGTAATGCTGTGTTCACACCAGACGCGGAACGCGCAGATAAAACGCGCTATTCGCAAATAGCCGCGTGAACATTAGAGTTTACTCGCTTTATACGCACGTCAAACCCCGCTTCATTCGCGTGTCAAATTCACATCAGAACAGACGCTGAAGTTCAGATTTTCGAAATCGAGAGATTCGCACAAAACGCTCGTTAAGCGCGTCAAACTGCTCAATTCGCCCCGCGCCATTCACGCAACTTGCGTCATTCGCACCGCAGGATGTTTATTTGCGTGTTTGCATTGACTTAACATGTAAATCACTCGCGCTTGACGCGCGTGCCGCGTCTGGTGTGAACGCAGCATAACGGAGGCAAGCTAGTGAGTGCTGTGCAGGTAAACCTCACTGCTCTGACCTTTAAATTTGCTCTAGCGACAGACGCTAGAGGCCATGGTCTTTAGCCTCCTTGGTAGAGCACCCGACTCCCATGCGGAAGGTCTCCAGTTCGATACCAGCTCGGCGGGTTGGGTGGCGTAGGACCGGCAGGGTTACATTGGTGCTGTGACCTGGATGGGAGTGAGGTTTAGGGGGGTGGGTGTAACGGAGGCCAGCTAGTGAGTGCTATGCAGTTAAACCTCACTGCTCTGACCTCTAAAGGTGCTCTAGCGGCGAACACTAGAGGCCATGGTCTTTAGCCTCCTTGTTAGAGCAACCGGCTCTCATGGAGAAGGTTGTCGGTTCGAAACCACCTCGGAGTGGGTGGCGTACGACCGGCGGGGTTACAGGAGCACCTTGAAAATAAATCTTGATATCTGTGATTACTATAAAGCAGGGTCTGTACAAGAGAAATGAACATTATACAAAGCATTTTTGTCATTTAAAGGTTAATTAAATAAAATATATGAACATTTTTTTTATTTCAGATAATTTCTGGAGAGGGGTGGCACGGTGGTTAACACTGTTGCCTCGCAGCAAGAAGATCTCTGGTTCGAGTCCCGGCTGAGCCAGTTGGTGTTTCTGTGTGGAGTTTGCATGTTCTCCCTGTGTTGGCGTGGGTCAATCTAAAGTCATGCGCTATACTGTAAGTGAATTGGATAAACTAAATTGGCTGTAGCCGTACACACAGACTTGTATGGCTATCTTTTTAGGGACGTCCCACACACATCATGCTCTTTATATTGTAAAAACAGCACCTTGCATGCACACAATGTCATAAGACGTTTATATTTGCGTAATGTGATGTCAGGTGACCAAAATTCAATGTCTAGCTAGCGTCTAAGGACAACATTATTTTGATGTCCAATAATGACGTTAATATTTGGTTGATGTTAGGTTGTGTTGGAAAGTGGCCAAAATCCAACATCGAGCTAACATCTTAAACCAACATCATATTGTCAGGTATGGCAACCAAAATCCAACATCTGATAGACATCTTAGTAGTAACGTTGACAACGTCAAGCTATAACATCATTAGACATTGATATTTGGTCGATTTTAGGTTGTATTAGTAAGTGACCAAAATCCAACGTCAAGTCAACATCTAAAGCCTGGTTTATACTTCTGCGTCAAGTGACCGGCGAGACCCACGGCGCATG